CCTAAGCCCTGAAATCTAACGTAAGCCGCTCTCATTAGTTGACAAGTTGACAATGCACTACTGTATCTTTTCCCAGTCTAAGGCTCAAACGTTTAGCGCTTACGTGACGCCCGGCAAATCTGAATTGCTTGGGGTTCCTGTGTTTTGAAAAGGTTCCGGTAAGGCTCGGGGCTCAAGATGACCCAAACAGTACTTAGAGGATCATGGGACTTAGCAAGTAGGTTATAACTGGGGGTATAAGTCCCCTAAGTGGGGTTATCCTAATTATAACCTACTTATAACCCTACTTACTAAGTCCCATGATCCTTTAAGTATAGTTCGAGCTTTTCCGTTTCGAAACTGGTACAAACCTTGAATCACGAAGGCTCAACCCCTCGATCCCCCAAACCCTGAGCCCGACCGTGGTACTGAGGCACCCTACTTCAAGGATCATGGGACTTAGTAACTAGGGTTATAAGGGCTCCTTAAAGGGATCTATAAGGGCTCCTTAAAGGGATCTATAGGGTTTAGGGTTTAGGGTCTACTTAATGGATCATGAGACTTAGTAACCAGGGTTATAATTAGGGTAACTATACTTCTAACTCCAATTAAGGTACTTATAACCCTACATACCAAGTCCCATGATCCTCCAAGTATCAACCTCGCTTACGGTATCAGAACAGTATCATCACAGCAGGGGCAATTGTATTTATGAGGTGCCCTAGCATATTGCTTACCCCAACCATTTTGGCCAAGAAGGACCGATCCTAAAGAACACGATCTGAACAATTAGACTATGGCTCCGTCATTCACACTCATTATGGGGGCTATATCAGGGGTTGCTGCATACTAGCTTCCGGCCCATCTTGTGTTCAAAAGCTTTAACCGAGAAACCCAAAAGATTAGCAATATGTTTTCTCACGGCCCCTGGTTGTACGTGTAGTGTATAGTATCCCCCCAAACCTTACTCCAATTTCAGGCCCCGATACCATGAAACCCTGAAGCAATTCGTCCAGAAACCCTGAAAAGGAACCGTACAATTACGAAGGCCCCTAGATTATAGAACCCGGATACAAATATCGTTGAAGGCTGAACCGTTTAATTACCCCAAAGGGTCCTATGTACCGATGTAGTAGAATGTAGTTTTTCCATAGTAGGAATTACTATTATGCCTTAGGGAAGTATCCCCCATAACAGTACATAGGACCCTTTGGGTACAGGATGTTAAAGGCTCCTAGCTTGGTGGTTGCTGGCCATGGATCACGCGGGAAGAGATGCGGGAAGAGCGATTCATCTGCATCGAGCTCCCAAACCACAACTGCTGGACCACCCTGAGGGGTTTAGTAGGGTTAAACCCTAAACCCTAAACCCCAATTAGGGTTTTGGGTTTTTCGGATTGGAACTGAGACGGCTTCTATAGTACAGATGCTTCATCAGGCTTCTGGAAGTGAGAATTTATAGGGCTTAGGGAGTTTAGCGTATCGGGTTCAAAATACGTGGGTGTAGGACTTATGGATCCTGACTTGTGAGTTTCAGATTCCCAAAGATGGTTAAAGTGCCTACCTATTGAGGGTTTGATAAACAAATTGTTATAGGGCTTGTGTTTTCTTTACTGCGATTTCGGTGTTTTGCCGTTTTGAATGGAGCGTTATGGATAGATGAAGCTTTGCCTACTGTGGCATACTTTGGTCTTAAGGTAGTCCCTCTATTGGTACGTTAAGGCCAAACTGTGAACTATTTGTGTACGTGGGCTCTCAGGGTGTTGTGGCTGTCCGAAGATTCACGATCTTGTTCGAAGATAGGTTGAAGGATCTCCGACGAACTTGGCGGATTGAAGAAGCTGGGTAGTTCTCTCCCTTTTGGGGCACGTGCCCCATGTGCCTACGTATGCTGTACGTATACAAGCATCCCCCTACAAACACATGTATATATACATATATATGTATGCACACACACCTTGTTTTAATGCTTTAGGGACAAGGTCAACGCTTAAATAGCACTCCCACGACGACCCGTGAGCTGCAAATCGCCCTTGCTACACTAGGAACCGAGTAAGAAACCCCGGATCCTCTTTGAGGGTTACATATATATATATATATATATTTATTTATAGGAATCATAACATTTTGGGGTTGTAGGGCCAGGGAGACTCCTAGGCCTTGGAAGTCGGTGTCATGCATCCGCGATGCGAGCATTCCTGATCCCATACACTCGGCTTCCCGCTGCGTGGCAGATCCATATATGTATATATGTATTCACCTTGTGTGTGTGCGCAAATGCCTCTGTATGTATGTCTATGTATGTATGTATGTATATATATATAATATGTATATGTATACAGATATATATATATATATATATATACACTATGCGAACATTTGCCAAACAAATGACTCTGTCTGTATACACGTATTTATATTCTAGTATATGATGCGTATTGACCTATCTATGCTGCGCCCCGGTACTTCAGTCCAGTGGAGTTCTCGCTCCCGGCTGCCTGGTCCCCACCGTAGACACAGGGAACGGTGCCGGAGCGCACGCAGTTCAGGTAGGATTCCTTACAGTACGCGGGTGAGGGTTTTTGACCTCTGGTTGGGTAAATCTTTGGGGATTATAAGATTTGGGGTTTGGAAGGTAAACCTTAGAGTGCAAGGGTTGAATATGGCTTGGTGCCCCTTATCATCATTATCATCTCAGCCCAGAATCCCGAACCTCAACAGCTAAATACCTAAACCTTATATACCATAAACACTGCAAACCCCAAAACAAAATCAACGCCAAACCTAACTCCAGCTTGCATGCACAGCCTTCAAATCAAGAATTCACGTCTTCGCTGTGTTGTGTCCCAGCTTCGATGCAGAACCCTGCATAGCACAAGATAAAGCCTGAACCCCGTGCCCTAAACTGCAATATGGGAGTTTCCGAAAATAGGGGACCCTAATATAGTACCCTTAATAATAGGATCCTTATTAAGTATATGGACCCCAAAGTAAGGTACCCCTAATTTTCGGAAACTCCCATATTACCTTCATGCTCCGGCCCGGGCACACGAGCAGGACACCATGGCCGGTATGGCATCAGGTCTTCTTTGTGCATCTCCTTGACTTCGGTAACGGTTTCAGGCCAAGGGTACTGGTAGTGGTGGTGGCCGTAGTAGTAGTAGTAGTAGTAGTAGTAGTAGTAGTAGTAGTAGTAGTAGTAGTGGTGGTGGTGGTGGTGGTGGTGGTGGTGGTGCTAGTAGTACTCCTACTACTACTCTTCCTACGGATACTTCTTCTACTACTACGACGGCTACTGATTACTACGACTACTATTCCACCTACCTACTTACTTCCTACCTACCTACTACGACCACCACCACTTCTGTCACTTCTGACTGCTACTACCACCACTGCTACCGCCGCTAGTACTAGACTAGCGGTGCAGCGAGTTGGAGTAGCAGAAATCGGTGTCCCAGATGCACTTGACCACAGCTTGCACCGTGGCTGCAGCCAGCTATAATAACAAGGGCGAAATCCAATTGCCAGCTTAGCCCTTCCAGCGAAGGTGCAAACGAGAAGCCACAGGGGGTCTACGTCCCGCACTCAAAGGTTAATGGAACCTAATATAATACCCTAAATAGTAGGATCCTTACGATACGGACCCCAAATTAAGGGTACCCTAATTTCCGGAAACTCCCATATACGGTTAACGGTTACGCTTCATGTTTTGGGCTACAAGCTAATGCTTGCCACAGGTCCTGAACTCTGGAAACCTTTAAACCCTTAACCCTCAAACAAACTAGCCTCACCCCCCCAACTCTTAAACCCTAAGCCTAACCCCTAGATGCCCTAAGGCTAACCCCTAAACTCTTAAAACCCAAGCCTAATCCCTAAACTCTTAAGCCCTAAACGGGCTAAAGATGTCCCAAAGCATTTGGAGCTTCAGGGCAGTCGATTGGAGGCCAAGGAGCACACTCCGACAGTCCAAGGTACCTCGGGGGCCGAGCTAATATAGGGGCTTCAATACTACTTAGAATAGGGTTCCTTTAAAAGGGGTCCTTGAAAGGGTTACTATAAGGGATTTATATGGGTACCATAGTATAGGAGCCTCAATACTTACCTATACTATTCTGGGGTTTCTTTTTATAGTTATAGTATAACGGGCCCCCAAACCCTATTCCGATTATTAAGGCCCTATATCATCGATGTCGTTTGGTTCGGTTTCCGGACAGATTAGTGTCAATCAAACTTGTTCCTGCAAGGGTAGGGGTAGGTTCAACCTTAAAACAAGCAAGAAGCAGCAGAGTAAGTCGCCATAATTGTTGCATTGACGTGACAGGGATCCTGATTTATGTGAAAAGGTGCGCAAGGATTGAAAGATAAATTCGCGCTTAACGTCTTGGGCTTGAGATGTCGTTTGTTGTCATAATGCAGGGCTCCGGTTACCTAAATACTAGGTTACTAACCATTAAGTATGTACCCCAGTCACCCACTATTTAGAGTAGACCCCCCAAAATTAGAAACCGAATTAAGGACCAATAGTGCTGGGATTCCCCATACACTACTCTTAAGGATTGAGGCTATCGGGTTTCCAAGTTTTGAGCTTCTACCATACTCCCTTATACCCTTACCGCTTATAGAACCCTTATAGATCCGTTATCGGAACCTTTAAAGGAAGCCTTGGTATATACTTCTACCATAGGTACCTGAAGCCCTACCTTCTTCAGCGGCTTTTTGGCCAAGAGCTTTCGGTGCTCTTTAGGGCATACTGTAGGGTAGGGTTTGGGGTTGGGGTTTAGGGCTTAGGGTTTAGGTCAAGGCTCCGGATCTGGGAGCTGTGCCGGGTGCAGGAAGCCAGGGGTAGTATAGGGGCCTTGGTAATTAGAATTGGACTTTGGAGTATATTAAGCTTATGATATTAAGTTTATGGCAAGGAACCCTCAGGAAAAAATATCAGTATTTAGGTCAAGCTTCTATACTAGCTGCATGTTTGATGACGGAGCTCTATTCCGAGATTAGGGAGGCAGGCCCTCCTGCATTTTATCTCCTTAGAAGGTTGTGTGGCACAGCACACTGCCCAAAATGGTCTTCTCCAAAGCACACCAGCCCACCGCCTGTCTGCGCTGCGCAGGTATGAAGACGGCCCACAGCGATTCCCAAAGCTGGGCCCAGAGCTGATGGCACAGCACACTGCCCGGATTCATTGTCTCCAAAGCAAACTACCTGACCATCTGCACGCACTATACAAGTGTGGCGCTGGCCCGCTGCGACAACCAAAACTGATCCCAATCCTGCCGGAACAGCGCACTGCCCATACCGGTCGTCGCCAAAGCAGACAAGCTGACCATCTGTCTGCAGTGCACAAGTATGAAAACTACCTGCTGAGACGGCCAAGACTGGTCCCAACCCTGCTGGAACTTCACACTGCCCGTACTTGTCGTCTCCAAAGCACACCAGTTGACCATCTGTCCGCACAACGCAGGTATGCGAATTGCCGGCTGAGACTGCCGAAACTGGTCCCAATCCCGTCGGCACAGTGCACTGGCCATATTTATCATCACCAAAACAAACCAGCTGACCGTCTGTGGGGACTGCGCAGGTATGACGACGGCCTGCAGACACAACCAACACTGACGCCAATCCTGCTGGCACAGTACACTGCCCGTATTCATTGTCTCCAAAGCAGATTAACTGACCATCTGCCTGCACTGCACAAGTATGGAAACTTCCCGCTGAGACTGTCAAGACTGTTGCTATGTCTTCTGGCACAGCACACTGTCCGTACTTACCATCCCCAAAACAGACCAGCCGACCGTCGGCCCGCAAAGCACAGGTATGACAAACGCCCGCTGAGGCTGCCAAAGTTGCAGGTCCCGACTCTGCTGGCAAATCACATCGGCCATGTCCACTGCATGCGAAGCAGACAAGCAGACTCCCTGCTCCGATTGCAGACTTGTGATAACACGTGGTGGCAAAATGGGATCTCCGGCACAGAGAGCTTCTCAAGCTTTGCAACTGTCTCGGCGCATTGCTCGACAAGCTCCTGGTATGCTTGAGCCGTCGGAAAACGAAACCTGGGATGCCAAACGTTGCAAAGTGCCGGGTGCCGAGGTGAAGTGGAACCAACGATAGCTTTGAGGTTCGAGACCTCCAGGAGAATGCCGCAAGCGAAAGACCAGCCTCCATGATGCGGCGAGCTGTGCAGCCGGCGCAGTTAGACAGGTCATTTTGTGACCAAGGCCCTTTTTTTTGTGCCCTAGCTAGCTTGTTGGTCGGAAGGATTGAGGGAGGAGCTTGCAGAGGGTGGTCTTTAGCTTTTCCTCCTTTAGGTGTTGAATGTTGGAAAGAAAGCCCTCAACCCTAAATATTACATCGAAAGACAACTTGAATTTCCGTTTACGGCATCGTAGTCGGGCATCATACCAATGGTCAAAAACTCCGGTTGCTGGCTCTGGTTTCGTGTATTGCTTTAGGGTTTAGGGTTTAGCCGGGCGAGCGCCCAGGCTCTGAGGCACTTGGGGGACAAACTCAGGGCTTCATGTAGGTGCTGAGCTGCTAACCTTTTCTTAGCCGGCAAGGTTTTGCAAGTACATGCAGCTCTTTTAACCTATGGCCCTAAACTCAAAGAATTCGAGAAACAGAACCTCAAGAAGATATAACTCAACTCTGAAACTGGATCCTGCGCAACCTTGCAGACTCTAAAGCCACAGCTGCACACCCAAAGCCTGGGCATCATCACGACGAAAAATGTCTGATTTACAGAGGAGCACTTGGGGGTTCACGGATAGTTCTGAGTGAGGCTTATAAGAAGGGCAATTTACCAGAAACTCTTTTTTCCTATTATCAGAAGCCATATGTGGGGCCTTATAGCCCTACTTAAAGGATCATGGGACTTAGTAACTAGGGTTATAAATAGGATAACTATACTTATAACCCCAATTATGGTACTTATAACCACACTTACTAAGTCCCATGGTCCTCCAAGTACTCATAACTATCCATGATCCTCCATGCAGGCCACCCTGCCGGTTTCCCCTTCGAGATGGAGTGTTGGGACCGTGGTGTGGAAGGCTTCGGGGCTTGAGGGATATGGGAGTTTCCGAAAATTTGGGGTACCCTATTTGGGGGTCCTTATAATAAGGATCCTACTATTTAGGGTACTATATTGGGGTCCCCTATTTTGGAAACCCCCATATGCCGGCTATGACCCAAAGGGTCCAAGTATCATTATGGTACATACTTTGACCCCCAAAATACCCTATAAGTATATACCATAATGATACTTGTACCCTTTGGGTGAGTTCCTTTGGACCCCGAAAAGTAAATATGCAGAAGAATAGCCTTTCACAGGTCCTGGGCCAGTATTATACCTATCTTCGGGGTTTAGGTATGGGTTATGAGTTCCAGAACAGCGGAGGACCACAAATTCGTGAATCAACATTCTGCACCAGGAATCTCTTAAGAGCGTACGCACAAAATGCCACAGCGAGGCGCACCGCCTGCACATCATAACAGGCCCTTATAATGTATTAATATAGGGGCCTTAACAACCAGAATAGGATCTTGGGGCCCACTATTGACTATACCATAACTACAATAAGGAGCAGTTGAAAATAGTATTGGTAAGTTAAGGCGCCAACATTAAGAGCACAGCTTCCTCGACCCTATCCTTCTGAAACCGAGGAGTTGCATACTCGGGTCGAAGGAATAGCGGACCACTTGGCAGATCCTTAGCCAAGCAGCGCCACGAACCCTGAACCCTAAAACGGATCCTAAACCCTAAACTTACCTATAGTCTCCATTGTAGTTCCTTTTTTTGGTTAACTAGAATCTCTATTATAGGATCCTAACCGTAAAACTGGTTAACAAAAAAGGACCTACAATCTTCAAACTGACGGTTCAGAGGTTTGGGGTATGGTTTAGGGTTTGAGGCCCTGGGGTTTAAGCAAAATCGTAGCTTGAAGCACGAATCGGCACATCGACAAACAAGTCAGGGGAGGCAACAATCATCCAAAAAGACACCCAGCAAACACCCCAGCGACACTACGATGAACCTGAAATAGCAACAATGTGGAGATTCTTCGAGGTGTAGCTGTTGATCTTGGTCCGATGGAACATGCCTGGGACAGAGAAGCTTGCGGAAGCGAGACGGGCCGCAAACCGTTTGTCCTCTGCATTTCAGGGTCAACACCTAGCCAGCCGAACTCTAAGCCCTGCAAGCTACAAGCGTGAACCTGCTCATATGGTTTATGCCCGCTTCATTTGCATCATGGTAGGATTTACAGTCTTCGGTGTTTCCACAACCGCACTCAAAACCCGAAGCCCTAAACACAGAACTCCTGAAGCCAATGCAATCTTAAAACTTGAAAATGAATACGACACACAAATAATTAACCCCAAAGGGTCCAAGTATCATTATGGTATCTATACTTAGACCCCCAAAATACCCTATAAGTATATACCATAATGATACTTAGACCCTTTGGGAACAATATAGAATCATCCAAAGAGCGCCTGCAGCCCTCCGGGGAACCGACCGATTCACTCAAAACTGTTTCTTTTGGCCCAGGAATCCCTTGACCTAAACCCTAAACCCTAAACCCTAAACCCGGTACTGCTTTTCGGTAATATTCGGCTATATCAAGGGAACCAAAGAAGGAAAAGAGCAAAACGGTACACTGGGGAACCTAAAAGCGTAGTTCGTTTGTAGATTTTTTAGCCCTGACCAGGGATCCAAGAAGGAAAAAGGGCAAAACGGCAGTATTGCGGAACCTCTAAGCGGTTGATGGTCTACCTCCGAGTTTTCTGTGCTCCGCCCGCCTATTCCACTCCCGGCGCCCTGGGCATCTGAAAGAGCAGCGTGGAGCCTAGCTGTGGACACTTGCCTTTTGCTGGCTTCTGGGTTGATGGTGTCAGGTTTAGGGTTTAGGGTTGATGGTGTCAGGTTTAGGGTTTAGGGTTTAGTGTTGGTGGTTTGAGGTTTAGGATTTAGGATCTAGGCTGGGGAGGGCCTATAAAGCTTTATAAGACCGTTGTAGTCCTAAGATACTGTAACACCCAAATCAGTGTACCCCTCACCTCAGAGCCTCCAACCCTAAACGCAAAACCCTAAAATCCCTGCAGCCTTAACCACACACAAAATCCGAGATATGGGAGTTTCCGAAAATAGGGGTACCACATTTGGGGGTCCTTATAATAAGGATCCTACTATTTAGGGTACTATATTAGGGTCCCCTATTTTCGGAAACTCCCATATCTTCAACAAGAAAAAATCGCCGTTGTGAACCGCTTCCGTTTCAGGCTCTGGGTCTAGGTATTTCTTAAAGGTACCCTAAACCCTAAACCCTAAACCCTAAACCCTAAACCCTAAACCCTAAACCCTAAACCCTAAACCCTAAACACACTAAACCTTTAAAAGGTTTAGTGTTTAGGACTTAGGGGTTTCGGGTTTAGGGTCTAGGGTTTGGGGCCTAGGGTTCCGGGCTAGGGATTGTGGTTTTAGAAGTTTAGAGTCTTGGATTTATCCGCCCAAAGGGTCCTATGTACTGTTATGGGGAATACTTCCCCAAATCATAATAGTAATTCCTAATATAGAAACCCTACATTCTACTATATCGGTACTTTGGACCCTTTGGGCCGTCGGGTCTAAGTTTGGGTTTCAGCTTTGCTAGACTTTCGGGATGTAGGGCTGCAGTGTTGAAAGCAACGGAATCAGGACTTGCCGTAAACGGTTATATATGAGGGCCTAAATACAGGGGCCTACGCATAAGGGCGCAAATAAGTACCAAATAATGGTTCTTTATTCTGTTTATGATCTGATGTAACCTCAAAAAACTTTTCTAACTATTACGGCCGCTATATTCAGGTTGAGGGTTCAGGGAGACCAAAGTTCAGCAAAATGCCTGAAGCCTGCTCTGTGGAGCGACGAGCACCCGAACCAAGCAGCCCCAACCAACTCATGGGTAGTTCTTCCAACTAAGATCCGTTCTTAGATTCTTGCATGGGTCCTTCAAATGGTACGGCACCCTGCTAAGAAGGACTCCGAAAAGAGAGCCTAACTCACAGAACTACCCCAGCAAACGTCGGACCACCCTGTCTTCACTGCATGTCTCAAGCAAACCTGCTCTACCAACTCATCATGCACTAATCTGTACGACATCACAGAGACTTTCCAGCCCCTAAACCCTAAACCCCTAAACTGTCAAAAGTAAGACGAAAGGCATATTCCAGTTCTTACCCTCCGGAAGAATCGCGTTGATGGCCTCCCAAGACTTCAGCGGCTACGATGCGGTGCGCGGAACTTTAGACCGCTGCCAGACTATCAGTAGGCCCCCCTTCTCAAACGCCGGACAATCCTACTGCAAGTTGCGCGCGTTTGAGGGCAGCACTTCCCGAACCTATAAACCTAAAAGGCAGACCGTAACAATCAAGCCTCAATCCTAAACCATAAACAGTACATCCTGAACTACAACTGAACTGGTGCAAGTTTGGAATAATTGGGGTTTCGAGGGGGCACTAAAATAAAGTATTCATAAGACTCATAAGTATCCCCCTCCGACCCATATAACCCCTTTACTAACAATTTGGGCCTAGCTGGGTTTGGTGACTGCGCGCTTCAGGGAGCACAGTGCACCTCAGAAGGATGGAGCATCGATCGATTAAGGATGATTTGTGCGGGGATTCCATGTATTTCAGCTTGTAACTTCCGGGCCTCCACTGTAAGATATTAGGGTTTAAGGTATAGGGTTCAGCAGGCTTAAAGGGAGATAGCAGTCTGCGTTAGAATTGGATAGAGGTATAATAGATAATATAAGAGTAGTCCTGCAGGATTTCCTAATATGTGTGATTCTGGCAGAATATAACCCTAAACCCTAAACCCTAAACCCCGGTCGAATGATTAGTTATCAAGGCCCGAGTATCCGGGTATACCGGAACTTTACACAGAAGCAGCTTCCCGCCTCCTCGTTCACCACCATGTTGCCTTCAAAGCAAGGGGACTTACTAATTGGAGCAGTTCTGGGGGATATTGTACGAAACCTTAAATCCCAAACCCCAAAATCCTAAACCCAATGTTACGGAATCGAAGCCCCCATATTGCTTGAAAGACGCTTTCGGAGACAGAAACTCCGGGAACAGAAACTCCGGAGCATCCCTTTTTAGACTTTTCTGCGGCGACTATCCTATGG